ATCAGCAGAGGAGGGACCTGATGTTTTCCATCAGGTCCACCTCTGTCAATTGCCCCCCTTGACCCCCTGTAGCGACGCCACTGAGCCTAATGCTTAGTACCACTAAACAGTGTAATTCCCTGCAAGTGTAACTGTCTGTGTAAGAACAATTAAGCCAGAGAGTCAGAGACCATGTGATCTGTGCTGCCCGGACCCTAACCCATGAGGGCACTAGATCAAGGCTTAATCTTAAGGTTTCAAGCTTTAAAGCAGAAAGAAATACATTGTAACTCAAAATAACACAAGGAATGCTAACATGTGCCTTGTTGATTTATGTTAAGTATAAATATTATTGGTCCTCTGTAATTTGTAAGCTGTGTTGGCACACTAGTTTGTTTTCATCATAATGTTATAAACAAACTATATTTAAACCAGGGGCGTCCCGAGGCCGGGTGTCACCCGGAGCGGAGACCGGGTGACACCCCGCAGTGATGTCATCGCACATGCGCGGTCATCTAATTGACACCTGCCGGCAGCCATCTTGGTGGTGGACGCTGGCAGAGCGAGGAGGGGATGTGCACCCGGCAGGATGTGGTATGCCGCCGGGTCCCCTCCTCTCTCCTGACACTGTCGGGCTCTCGGTCCATGACCAAGTGCCCGACTTTTTAGAGGGGGTGACATCATAATGACTGACAGTCATTTTGGTGTCACCCCCTCCAATGGTGTCACCCGGGTGCGGGCTGCACCCCCCTTGTGACGCCACTGATTTAACCCTCGGCCCCTTCTTCGGGACGCAGAAGCGATCTGGCGACAGGTAAGTCGCCAGGATCGCTTCTGTTGTAAAGCCGACAGTCGGCTCTACAAGTTTAAACAGAGTCCCGGCGGCAAAAGTCGCCGGGAGTCTGTTTAAACAGCCCCGATGCTGGCGACGTACACTTTACGTCGTCAGTCACGAAGGGGTTAAACCCTTACTATGCATCCTTACTTGCACGTCGGGCAAATAGACACCAAACATGTCAAGTAAAAAAATTGTGCGCACTCGAGAAATCACCAAAAACTGTCATACTCAAAAATGGCCATTGGCGACGCTTCAAAAGCTTTTACAGCTCATCAGTTTAGTGTTATCAGTGATTGATGGCCCTTGAAGCGATTCACCGGCTCTGTAGCCGGCGGATCGCTTGTATGATAAATGGCATCACTTTCGGTTTTTAAATATTCGTCTTTCCAGCTCGTGCGCGGTGCGCACGAGTGGGCGGATCTAACAGGACGTGTATACATGCCCAGTTACATCCAAGGTAGTTAATGGAGCAGTGAGGAAGCCATGTGTGCAAGACTTTATTCTGAGTCCTGGGGGTGGTTTGTAACTGCTTGCACTCAGAGAAGTGCATTAGAAAAGAGATGGGTGAAGATATTTGAAGAATGTGATAAACACTCATAAACAAGAGTTTTTATGCTAGGTTCACACCTAGGCGATATCGCACAAAACATTTTGCATTCAAGTCTATGGAAGCTGTTCACACCTTTGCGATTTGTCATGCGGTAGAAATCGCCTGTTGCGCAAAAAGGTGCAGGAGCTATTTTCGGGCGATTGTATGCATTGAAAACCACACTATTTTCAAAGCAAACCACACGAAAACAGCTCACCGGCTTAATCGCCTCGGTGTGAACCTAGCCTTAGGGAGCACACAAAATGCCTAATGGAACAGGAGCAGAGCACAAAGATGAGGGAAGCAGAGCAGAGCAACAAGATGAGGGAAATGTTGCTGTAAGGAGTTAAAGGTCACATCACAGGTCTCTTCAATGCAGAAGCAAGACAATCGTAATGGACTTATTTGTTTATATGTTAAACTACAAAATAGCAAACATTGCGGGGAAATGCCAGGGTTGTCAGGAAGCAACGCTCATAGCTGGCTGAAGATTGTAATGACAAGATCACCTCAGTGGCATTCAATTACAACATGGCATGTGTTGCTATTATTTATGTTTTAATCATTTTTTCTATGCAAGTGGAGTTCTTCATGAAGGAAGCTATTGTCTTTTAACAATTATTTGGATTATGCGTGATTGTGATCATAATAAAATATAATATTTTGTTAATGAGTATAACCATTTAAAAAATATTTTAAAATATATATAATTTGGAAATATACTGTATATGTGCGTATATGCAAATACATTTGCTCACTGCGTTTTAAGGCAGTGGTTTCTGCTTGGTTGTACTGCTCCATTTCTGCAAGTTGTGTATCAGGCTGTGTGTCAGGCTGGACCGGAATTAAAACAATAGACTTCCAAGTCCTTATAAGGTCAATGGAGTTTACTAAAACAATGACTAAGCAAAGAATATTAGAATACAATTGACCACTAGATGTAGCATTTACATATCTGCATATAAAATACAATAATGAAAATATACAACAGCAAAGACATAAAAATGTAAGTCTCTTTAAAATTTCATTCAAAATACAGTATGTGCCTTCTAAAATATTCAGCCAGTATTGCTAAAAAAAACAAAATATGTATCTGCTATTGTTATCCTTTAAAAAATTCATAATTAGTTTTTTGTCTTTTGCTTTTGTAACCTTTGTACCAGTACATGATTTAAAGACCTGGAATCATGTCTAAGGCTGGGTTCACACCTAGGTGTACGGAATATGCGCGTTTGCAGTGCGTTTCGGGCCGCAAGTTTTTACCGCGATTTGCGGTAAAAGAAACGCGCAACAAACGCGCGTTTCCAAGGGCTATCCGGCTGTATCCTGATGGATACGCCCCAAAGAAGCTCCTGTACTTCTTTGGGCGTAGGGCATTTTGCAGCGCGTTCCTACGTGCTGTAAAACGCCCAGGTGGGAACATGCCCATAGGCAATCATTGGTTTTCACATGTTGAGCGTTTTACAACGCATAGGATCACGCTGTAAAAGGCCCAGGTGTGAACCAGGCCTAAATGTGTGTGCACAGATTTGCAACAAAGTTACCATCAATTGGGTTTCAAGGAATAAAAAAGCAATGTGAAGAACTGGCAAGAAGAAATCATAGCAAACGTGATGGAGGTGTAAAAATCAGGGATGTTGTTAGTTGGTCCATCAAACTAGAATTATTTTGCCCCGGGGTAGGTTCACCTAATTCAATTCAGGAAGGCATTGCAACCAAATGCCTCCACATGTTGCTGGCTCTGGACTGGTGCTTTGCCTTCTAGTTTTGGCAGAAATGTAGAAGGAATAAATATCACAATAATGTAGCGTGAGAACATGCTGTACAATTCAGACAGCTACTCCACCATTTTAAATTCAGTTCATTAGCTGCCTGAAGATGGATGTAGCCACATTTTCTCCTCCAAAGTCAGTGGCCTCTTATGCAAAACACTAAGTCAGGGGTCTTAAAGAACAGACCTATGGGCCAATTGCGGCCCGCAAACTGGCACTAGGTGACCCACAGCCAGTTGGCAAGTCAGGCATGTGGTGATTTGCGGGAGCAGCTACACGGTCAGGATCTCTGCTAGATGCAGACCGCATAGCTGATGCGAGCTGTGGCGGCACTCAGTGCCTTTCGGCCGGAGCTCTGAGCTTTGGCAGAAAGGATGGATTAGTAAGGTATGCACCAGACCTTAGTAAGCAACCACTAGATCACCAGAGAAAGTGCCTCCTCCCTGCAAAAACGTTAGCAGGTGAGGGGGCTCTTTGTTCTATTTTTGTGTGTGAGGGGGGGCAGAATATTGT